TCAAGACACAGGGAAGGGTTGCTATAATCACAGGATAGGAATCAACTGATAAGCGACTTGACTTCCACACCTCGGAAAAGGAAGAGACAGGTTAGAGTTGGCAGCTGTAAGAGGTGATTATCGCTCTGGGAGGAAAGACACTGAGGGGTGAGCTGTGCTGCCTACCAGGCCAGCCTCCCCCAGCCCCCAGGACATTTCCTTCCAGTAGGACAATTAACCCAGGAGGGTTCTTCCTAACATGTTTTCAGATCTTTTCTCCTTCCCTCCTTACTCGCTCCAAATCTGCTCCCTGATACAGTAGTTTGGGAAACTCAAAAAACACCAGAGTCCAATTCTTAAGAGAGGTATGGCATGCAGATTCCCTTATCTCTTTCAGATCTGCAGCTGCCTCCTCCCCTAACCCTAAATGCTCCTTTTCTCTACTGTGTCTTTATGGAGCCAGCCGGTTTGTCCTTCCATTGGATTTATTTCTTCCACAGGGTCCTTTGCACCTTTCTGCTGCCATAAACAAAGTAAGAGCTTAAACTTGTCTCAAATGTATCCCACCTCATGCAGTGTGGAATTCCCTTGATAACACTTCTGCACTCGCTGGCTAATCGAGGGTGCAAAAGACCCCTTTTCACATTGCTCTGGATTTTCAAAGATCAGGAAGACAATATTCCTCCACCCTCTTTCATTTGTCTTATGGCTTCAAACACCACTTTTGATGGCTACCACGCAGTTCCAACCCAAGGGTCCACAGACTTTGTTCCCTGACTTTTTCACTTGTAACAGTGATTCCATCACCCCAGCAGTCTTTAGCAGTTCCAGTTCTACCGGGCATCTTTGATTCTTTTCTCTTCAATAATAGGTTCCACCTCAGTGTTTCTGTGAAGTTTAACTGAAGTCACATAAATCACTTAGAGTCCAGAGTAAGTAAATCACTTGACACAGAGTAGGACTGCTTACTCCTTTATGTAAGCTAAGGAATATATTATAATGTCCTGTGAGTCAGTGCACATTCTCCTTCTTTATGTCTCTCAAAACCATCCATACACCGCCCATGCATTCTGTTCTTCTGGCCATCTCCCTTATCAAAACCCACTGCTTCTCATCTGGACCAGACACAGAAATTCTAAAGCAGTGATGGCAAACCTTGTAGAGTTTCAATGACACATACAGCCCACTGCAGGACACGTGCCATAAATTTACCATCTCTAGTCTAAATCATCTCCTGTCTCTAATCTCTTCCCACCTTTCTAGTTCATCTGAGATACAAGATCAGGCAGGGCTAATAAAAAAACCAGCTTGGGTGGTGCCATCTGACTGCTCAGAAATGCCAGTGCTTTCTCTTTGGCTCACTTGGAAACAAAGCCCTTCCAGCACACCTTCCATTTCCAGCCTTTCTTCCATAACAAGTGTCATGGCTTGTGTCTGGATGTCCCCCGAAAGCCTCATGCAGTCATGGGGCAGGCTTCTAGAGTTTATGATTGATCCTTGGTCTAAGGCTGGGATTATGGATGTGAGTGCTATACCTGCCCTGGGGAGGGAAGTTTGCATACAATACAAGGGAAGGAAAGAGGCTTGCTTGCTGCCTCCCGCTTTTTGCTCTTGCTGTTTTGCTGTGTTGTGGCATCTTGAAGTGTTGCCCCTGTGCCCTGCTACCCTGCCTTGGAGCCACTGGTTATAGTCTGAAACCTCCACAACCTATAAGCTAAATAAAGCTTTCCTTCTTTAATTTTGGGTGTTGGGTATTTTGTCTCAGCAACAAGGAAAAAGTAACTAAGACAACAAGCCAGGCTGCAGGGGGAAAACGATTTTCTGAAAGTCTTCTGCCTCTCCCACATCCATTCCTCTGCAAATACCTTACTCCGTCTGGAAAGTCCCCACTGTCCACAAACAGTAATCATTCGCATTCTGCAAAGTTCCCTGGCTCCAGGGAATGACTTGTGTTTCTCTTTTTCTGCTTTGAACCTCCATTGCCCTTGACTCATTTTCCTCTCATAGAACTACATTTCGTCTCCTCCTCATCTATCTTTGCTTTCCTATAGAACCTTACCCCAGTGTTTTATAAGTAGGAACCACTCAATAAAAATATTCGTCTTCTAAAACCGAATATCTTTCTCACTTCAGGGTGAGAGACATCTCTCTATATTTGAGAATCACTTCAGGTGGGGAAACATAAGGCATGGATTTTCTTTGGCCCAATTTTATGCTGTCTGGTCCTCCTCAAATATACCTGCTTGCATTTTGGCAAAATGGTTTAAAAATGCACACTGCCTAATTCTGCCTCTTTGCTGTTCTCATTCCAGACTTAGCCTTAACCTTACTCACCCCAAAGTACGACCTGTCCTAACAGCTTGTCGTAATCTCCTGAACTTTAACTGCTCTCTTGTACAGAATGATGCCTGTGGACTAAAGTACTGAAGAGAATTGCTCTTAAAGACCTGGTCTGTATCAGACAATTCACGGCTACCAGTGAAAAATTTCATGAAAAAGGACTGATATGTAGCTAGAAGCAGAATATTGTGTATACACAAACTGTACTGCTTTTCAGGGTGCACTGTGGAAGTTCAACCGGAATTGTTCATGACAGGCCCGAGATGACAATGGCTTGGCTGAGGATATGACATTCTTCACAGTCCCTGGCAGAGCACTGAATAAAAGGATGGGTATTTTATGTGCATCTAAGCAACTCTTTTGAAGTATTTTTTGATTCTTTTGATTAGGCAAGAGGATGCTGTCTTTACGGCCAGGTAGCTGGCATAAAACATGCACATCACATGTCCGCAATACAGTATAATGCATCTATTTTGTGTGTGCACAGAACCTAAAGCACAGTTTATTTTGCAGAAACACTGAATTAACTCTTCAATTCCTATCCATATGCCACAGAACTAGCAGTCTTTTCACACTACAGTCTTGGCTTCCTGTAACTTTTCAGCCTGTTGGTTTATTAAGGATGCATTAAGTAATTAGATGTCAGGTGTGGGAAGTAGCTCCCCTGTGTTTGGTGTGGCCTATACTTATCCTGTGAGCTGGGTATCGACCTACAGAGGGTCACAGGAAGAGCTGAGCTATCTAGCTTGAATCCTGGGAACCATGAACTTCTCAAAGGCCTTGGGAAAGATCCCAGTATATCTAAATTGCATGTACCTCCCAGATCATTTTTGGACCTCTCCGATGCAGGCTGCTTTCTATCTACCCGCTTATCAATATCTCCCCTCGTGGGTCTTGATGAATGAGTGGACCACGTCCTTCCGCTCAGTTGAATGTTGCTGGAGCCTAACCAGAGTTTTCTTTACAGATCTGTTTAAATGATCTGCCCTTTTGTTGGGAAGAGAAGTAGGGCTAGGCTATCAGCGCTTACAGAGAGCAACAGAAGGGAGCTTGTTATCAGTGAACCCGATAGCTGTTGGTTCCATTGCCAGGATTACTCCTTTTTGGCTGAGAGACCCTGGTAAATAATGTGGCCCTCTGAACCTCTGTTTTCTTCTCTGTAAATTGGAGCTAATGATGATCCTCTCATGGAGTTGCTTGGTACAGAGCCAACGCTTCAATTAAACCTGAATTCTTGGCTGCTGGGGTGATGCTGGGGTGATGCTGGGGCGACTTGGCTCTCGGGGCTCTGCGTGCCCGCTGTAGCACGGGCGCCATAGGTTCACTGCCACTGCCCTATGTTCTATCCTTACTCTTGGGAGAAGTCAGTGACATTGGAAGACGGGGAAGTAGTCCATGTTTCCCTCTTACCATTTTCCATTTCTTATACGAGACAATCATGTCAGAAACGTCTTTTCCTTTACTCCTCTCTACCTGCCACAGTTCTGCTATGTCACAGCCACATAGGAGGACAGCGCAGGATCTAGCGTCCTACATCCTTGGCTCTTCTGGGCAAAGGCTCATCCTGGCAGTGGGACCTAACTGGAGTTAGGATAGACCGCCTTCCTGGGGAGGAAGGGAGGAGGCAGAGACAAGGCTACAGGTGTTTGTGTGAGGTCCTTGCCTCCTCTGTTTCATCCAGGCTGGGCACCAGGAGATGATCTTGGCACAGGCTCCCTGAAGGAACACCCGGGTCAAGGTGCAAGGCTGGCTTACCTAGGTAACAGAAGGAAGGGAGGGAACTGATTGGGTCGCAGGCTCTCCTACTGTAAGCTGAAACATTTTTTGCCCAAGGAAGAATGTCTTGAACTCCAAGTATCACCAATGAATGACTCACCGGAAGCAGTGTAAACACAGGTGTAATACTGGCCTGAGGAGGACCTGAAAGTCCCAGCGGGGTGGAAACCCAGTTCCCCTGTCTAACCCTGGCATCCGGCACAAAGAACCCTAAAGTTCAAACAGGTTTAGCAATTTGCCAGAGGCCTCGAGTTGAGAAACTTCGCAGGACCTGGAATCCGCTGTCGCTACCTTCCTGCCGGGATAAGAACGGCCGACCGAGACGGTGCCCGCGCCGCCTCTGGGAAGCTCTCAGAGCCGGGTCTCCGATTCCGCCCCGTCCCCTCACTGACTTCCTCGCGTCCTCCGCCCTCCTCTCTCCCAGCCCAGGGTCCCGCGGGCCGGCTGGACGAAGGGATGCGGGGCACCCATCCCCGTGTCTAAACACGCATTGTAGAGAAAGGACGCGGCAGACCCGGCTCGGGCAGAACTGCGCACAGCCTCTCCTGAAAAGGGGGTGCACAGCGGCGGGGCTGGGGTCTGCCGGCGCCGAATCGCGGGCTAGGGGCGGAGCCTGGC